GGGCCACCTGTTATATATATATAACAGGTGGCTGTTGTTTAGTGACCACTTGTTCAGTGACCATTCAAACGTACAATGGCACTGAATGAGTGGTAGTTATGACCAGTCCTCAGTCCACAAACCAGCTATTGCAGTGAGCTGCAGTCACATGACCATGATTTCCGACGTTTCCTGTCGGCTTCCCACAAGCAAAGTCAATGGGGAAACAGGCAGGAAGTCGGAAGTCACGATCACATGAGGTCCTCACTTAACCACCCAAATGGTCCTTGCTTAATGACAGCAATCAGGACTGCCAAAACTGCCATAGCTAAGCGGTGCGGTCTTATGACATCACGCTTTACGACCGCATTGCTCAGCAACGGCAATTCCAGTTCCAGTTGCTGTTGTAAGCTGAGGACTACCTGTATATGTACTCAAGTATTTACACTTCATATTGCAATTGTATCAATTTCTAAATTCTCTTATTCTAATTATGTCCTTTTTGATTCTTTAACCATTTTTTAATTTCAAGCTCTATCAGGACAGAGAACCAAAGGCCCTCTAGATGTCTGAGAACTACAACATGCCAGGACATGCTAGCTGGGAGCTTGAGTTCAGAAACATCTGGACTACCACAGATTCCTGTTTCATTCAAAGTGTTATGAAGGACTGCTTATTTTAGCTCAGTTGTGCATACCCTTTTGACAGCTGGGTAACACTCCTGAAATAAGGGACAGAGCAGGTGGAATACGTGATAACCTAAAGTAGACATTGCTGCATCTCACATATGGGTGGGAAAGATTTTCCATTCCTCTCCTAATTTTTTAGAGGAGGATCATAATTTTAATATGTTATTTCAGGACTTACACTACAATTTAGTCTCTTTCCTCCTCAACGCAGCAAGAAATCATGCTGCTTTTTCCTACCAGTCAGCATTGGGAGAGTTGTTGGGGGCATCACAAAAGAGAGGTTTAAGGCCAAAGATGACCCTGGGCTTCCGGATCCCCATCTCTGTTCTAGTCATTCAGTAAGAACTCAGAACAGAACAGTAAAATGTATTTATCAAATGTTGCTAACAATATTACTATTTAGCCTTGCTCTTATCCACGTTAATGGTAAAGCTTCCATTAATTTAATGATCCTGACTAAGATCATTTACAAACTAGTGATTTAGAGCATCCTCAGAGCATTACCCAGCTATCCTTGAAATATTATAAAGCCTGTCCTCATTACTGTTATTTGACACAATTATAGTTGGACAATTCTAGAATGTGCTATTTATTGCTAGTGAGACAATAACCTAAAGTTTTTATTTTGAGAAAATAAAGATCAAACTAATTTAAATTAGACTCTGTTAGTAGGTCACTCTCTAATTTTTCTCTAATTATTCCTAGTTATTCTTACTCTTAACTTATTTTGTGCATACCCAATAATAAGAGAGTTTACTTATTTGTTATGGTATGAAACCAAAAACAAGCATAAAATAATAATAAAGAAATCATACCAAGGACAATGATGATCCATTTTCAGTACACATCTAAAAAAAGAAAGGAAGACATTTGAATCAATGCAAAGGTGATCAAAGAATATTAGTATGTCGTCCCCCCCCCCAATAAATATATCTAATCTCAATCTCTCAAAGCCTATTCAAGCATTGTAACATCTTGGAAACCATTGATCACTCCACCTCTGCCTCCCCTCCCCCCAGTTTGTTTTTAGCAGCCAGGGCTAAACAAAATATTGCAAGGCAGACTCACAGAGTTCTCCCATGTCCTTTCTTTCACAATGAAACACAGTCAAGAGAATCTGAACACAGATATAGCTTGAGAAAGGAGAGGCATGCTTAATCCTCAGAGTTATTTCCTCACTCAATCCACTTTCCAACTGGGAGAAGAAATTGATAGAGGGGTGCATGAATGTGTGTATATTCTCTTGTATATGGAAGAACAATAAAGAGGCATTTGGCACAGAAAAATGGTATGGGGAAAGAGGAGAAAGCAGCGCCCTCCCCACTTAAGTTTGCCATTCTTCCACATGCCTACTCTTCTACTGCTACCCTTCATTTTCAGGTCAGGGGAAGGATTTTTTTCATGCATCTGATGTTTACAACCATTCATTCATATTAAAATGTTAAGTCATCTGTGAAAATGGCTACTACAACGCATCACACTCAGCTTCTAAAGACTATCCTTTCCCAATCCTATATTTATAGTATGTAGTATACTCTAAAGCAGATTATTGTAGCGCAGCAGCATTAATGATATGTTGAATGCATGTTCTATTAACGGTTATTCAGCTGGTGGTTGTAATGCTGACCCAGGAATTCAAAAGGTTGTGGGAAGGAGTACTATGGGCTGTATATTGCCAGGAAAGCAGAGCAGTGAAGAGAATGAAGTAGAACTCCTGTCTTCAGTCACAAACTCAAAAGCATACATTATATGGGAGGTAACTGGCTTATCTTTAACTTAAAAAATAAAATAAAGTACAGCACAGCCATGGGTACATAATTTGCTTTGAAATGTGGCATTGAGGGGTTATTTAACTTTTCCTTTCTATATAATTTTTTACCTCCATGTTCCCAATATGTGCATTCTGAATGTGTGTCAGTATTGCATTCTCTAAGCTGGCAGGGTGCAGCAACAATATATTGACTTTCCAAGGTAACTTGCACAGAATATTAGGAGCATGCTTGGGGCAAACATGAGTTTTGGTTGTGGTTGTAATAAGAGGTTTTCTTTCCTTATGATCAGCAGTGAATGCTGCATGTGGGACTGCACTATGATGAAGACTGGTAACATAGTCTATACTTTCCTATATCACTAAAAACATTATGTGAAAGCTTCAAATGACTAAAGTCACGATGGGTGGTGAAGAATGATATCTATGGACTACCTTGTGACAACCATGGCAAATGAAATATTACATCTTGAAATGTAAAAGGAGTAGATGATACAGAACATGGATTAACTAATGAAATGAAATTGTATGAAGTGAAAATTAGTATGTTATGTGTCTGTGAAACTAACAGAAAATAGAACCGAATGAAGGTGGCCTAATCTTATGTAGTGGAGTTAATGAATATGTGCAGGGATTTGAAGATGTAATTATGAATGAAAGTGCTAAAATGTATGTCAAAAAGTATGAATTGGTGCCATCTAGACTGTTGTGGATGTGCATGAAAGTAGGAATCCATAGGTTGCTGATAGCTGATTCTACATTCCAGTGAATGAACATAATGAAAGGTAAGGGTTTCAAACATAAGTTTATAATGCAAGAGAATGAATATAAATTGAAAAGCTTGATTGATCTGGTAGCTTATCATGCTATCATAAAAAATGAGAGAATTCATGAATATTACAAAGGAAATAAGGAGTTCAGAATGTGGGACAGACCATTATCTGGTAATGTCAAGAGTGAATCTTGGGAAAAAATGGACATGGAAGAAAACAGAAGTGAAAGAAGTATGAGCAAAAGTAGAATGACTGCTTGAAGTATGAGTCAAGTATAAGAATGTTTTAGAAGAGAGATTAACCTCCCAACAGAATGAATGGAAAACAAAACTAAGAAAAAACAGTGTGGAAACTGCTTGGAACCAAGTGAAAAGGGAGAGTACCAAATAAGTACTTTATATTAATGGGAATATGAAAAAGGATGCTTTGTGGAATGATGAACTGAAAGAGACTGTGGATGGGGAAAATGGATACAATATAGAAATACACTATGTAATGGGTTTAGAGAGAAAAAGATGGTTGTGAAGAATCTCAACTACAGCAAGGAACAGTTAAGTTTAAAAGAGGTAGAGAAAACACAGAACAGTTCTAATGGAGATAAAAACACTGTTTTGAAAGTAGGTGAAGAGGCTTAAACACGGAACTTTCAACAGAGTGAATGAAATTAAAAATGAAAGTGATGAAATGCTTTGAGCATTAAACTGAAAAGAAGAAATGCTGGAAGGAGTATTTTAGACAGTTGCATGGGAATTACATTGGTATGTATCACAGAGTGGAACTGAAACAATGTTCTATGTTGTCAATGAGCATGGAGGGAGAAGAGGTAAAGTGATAGGTAGCGATAGGGAGAAAGAGACCGTGGCCCATAAGTGGCCTATTAAACATGGCTTGGATGGCTATCAGTGAGAAAGAGACAGTGCATGGGTAGGGGGCAGTGCACAAGGTCACCTATTGAGCATGGGTTGGGTGACCAGGAGGGAAAAGGAGGAGGTAGCCTGTAGCAGCAGGGGGGCCCAGGATCCATGGCTTAGTCTGCTAAGCCATCTGCAAAAGAAAATATAATGGAGAATGGTTAGATACAATGGACTTGTCCATTGCTTCCAGAAGTAATCCAAATAATTTACTTGCATATGGAGTCCAATAAAGTTTGTACTGTATTGTTCCCCTATGTAAAGAGAAAGCTAAGCAGCAATGAATACAAAAACTAAACAGGGAGTTGTTTTTTAAGTATGCTTAGGAAGGTGCTTGGAAGAATTTAGATTGAATGGATATGAGAGTTGACAAGGAACAAAATCTGAAGCAATGCAGCTTTATGGCAGGGAGGGAATATGCAGACCAGCTTTTTGCTCTTTAGCAGCTCACTAAGAAATGCATGAATATGAGAAAGTAAGTTTATTGTATGTTTGTTGATTTAGAAAAAGCATATGATAAAGTGAATATACTTGAATCGTGGAATGTTTTGAAAGTTGGTTGCTGAATGTAGTGATATATTATAGACGTAAAGCATGTGTGAGAATAAGTAGAATGCTTAGCAAATGATTCAACAATGAGCAGGAAGCAAGGCAAGAATATGTGATGTCCCCTTTGTTGTTTAATGTATTTCTGGATAAATATATAAGGAATCTTTGTGATGATGTCAAAGATGTATTGATTGGGGACATAAGATATACATGTATTTTGTATGCAGATGATAAAATATTGTTGGCTGAGAACCCTAGTGATTTGCAGTGAATGTTACATAGTTTGTATGATGCGCTAAGAAATACTGGTTTGAAATTAATGTATCAAAGACTAATCTGGGACTATACCATCTTTGGTGCTGGATGGGGTGGTACTACCCCAGACAGATCCGGTGTGCAATCTGGGGGTCCTCCTAGACTTGTGACTCCTGCTCAAAGAGCAGGTGGCAGTCATGGCTAGGAGGGCCTTTGCACAGCTTCGTGTTGGGCACCAATTGTGTCCCTTCCTGGACTGGGAGGCTTGCTCAGTCGCTCATGCCCTAGTCACCTCCAGATTGGACTACTATAATGCACTCTACATGGAGCTGCCCTTGAAGCATATCTGGAAGCTTCAACTAGTGCAGAATGCAGCAGCGCAGGCAGTTATGTGTGCTCCTAGAAGAGCTCATATTACACCTCTGCTTTGTGAGTTGCATTGGCTACCAGTTTGCTTCAGGGTTCAATTCAAGATGCTGGTTTTGACCTTTAAAGCCTTTCATGGCATGGGGCCGGGCTATCTGAGGGACCACCTCTCCCTGATTACATCAGCCCATCCTATTAGATCTGGCAGGGAAGGTATGCTATGTGTTCCATCGGCCAGGAACTTGAATTTGGTGGATCCAGGAGGCAGGCCTTCTCTGCCATGGCTCCCTCCTTGTGGAACATTCTGCCTCCTGAAGTGAGGCTCACCCCTTCCCTGCTGTCGTTTAGGAAGTCCCTCAAGACCTGGCTATGTTGTCAGGCCTGGGGGTCTTTGGGAACCAGAGGCATTCTTAGATGGCTCCACTGCAATTGATATTGTGTTCTCTCCGTGGGGTTTACATATTTTAAAATTTAAAATTTTGATAGTTTTTATTTTATGTTTATGATTGATTTTATTCATCTGTTAGTTAATTGTTGTATGCCACCCAGAGTTGCTTGTGTGAGATGAGCGGCTATATAAATATGACATATAAATAAATAAATAAATAAA